TTTCCCGTGCACAAGAAATGCAGTATAACACAAACTAAGAATTGAATAAAGGCTTAAATTGGCATGTATCACGTGTTCAGAGACCAGATTGTCCATACCCATGGCTTTACCTTTCTCTAACCTGTTCACCGCCTGCGCGATTTCCTGTGACGTGATTATCATGTCACTGTCAAATTCAATGTCGTGTAGTGCTGTCATCACGTTATTTTTCTTAGCACAATCATTTACACAGTTGAGAAGGGATGAATAATGCTGTTTCCACATGTCCGATATGCACAAATCGCCATTACATCCGTCTACAGTGGTAGGTAGTGGGCATGATCTATTAGTAACCGTTCGGACCGAATCCCAGAATGTACGTGTGTCATCATGATATAATTTACTAGCCATTTTGTTTGCTTTAATTTGATCATCATTCCTCCTGCACATCCTAAATGCGCACGTGTTTTACGCATTAGTTCATATATTACACCAGTGCGCGGTTTGCCATTCGACACCCATAATCTGAACGAATCTCTCGCAATATGGTGACAATCACGAACTTGGTCATTCCACCCCGGAACTACTTTATCCTTCCTAATTTTAGATTTTGGTATACAATGCTGGGCCGATTGCACCAACGATGTCACTATATTAGTATATAATTTACACAACTCCTCAGTATGGTTGTCATTAATACAGTTCGGGTTACAACAGCTTAGTGCGTCCTTGGGGAGGACGAGATTTCTCAGTAGATGACCTGATTTTAATAGCATAGAAATATTTTGTGTATAAAAAATAAATCAATTGCCCGCTAATTACCAATCCCCACCTTATTGTGATGTACGTAAGTTTATATCTTACTTACATTGTCAGTAAGTTGATTAACAACATTATGATGAAAGCAAGCACAAGATTAAATATTACTTATAGTATATTAATTGTGTCAGCCTCTGTGCCACTGTGAACAGTCCTTTTGAAAGTGTGTTCTATTCCAAATTCATGAAATCTCAGAATAAATTAGGTCAATCCAAGTTTAATCAATTATACAGTATATATCTAATATATGTTATTGCTACACCTCTTCTTGTTCAGAAAACAGCATAACCGTTCAGCATAAGGAATGCATGGTCATCCATACATTCCCAAACCTTTAATCGTCTTACTCTTTGCATGTTTCCCCAAATCAGGTAATATCCTGTGAAGTTGAAAACAGTCTTCCATTTCATTTGGCATAACGTATTTGGATGAAACACAATAAGCTGCGTTTTCACAAATAAACTACAAATATCCATGTCTTTGTAGTGTAACACTGGTCTTAGTCTTTGTCCTTTATAATACGCTTAATTTAATCTGAATTCATCTGTCGTTTGTTTTTCTCACTACTGCAAAGTTAGCATTTCATTGACCATGAGTAACTATATATATATAATTACAGTTTATATTCAGTTCCTTGTCTCATATATTATCTTAGATATGAAATATGTGAATATAAAATAGCGTCTTCTTATTCACTTACATTGCTTTTTTCCAGCCTCATTTTACGGATGTATTCGTCACCTTTTCCTGCTTATGCCACAGGATGAACTGCTTTGGACGTTGTTCGTTTTTTTCGAAACAAGTAGATGGATGAAACTTACTACAACCATTAGCTTTGTATGTGTTTTCACTTTAGTTCTCTGTATATATTGTACGTTACACTGGTAATTATTATTTTCACAACATTAACCTATTACGCACATAAAGACAGATTTGCATTTGACAAGCAAAGTTTTTTCTACCTTGTTAAAATAAAATAAAAATAAGTATCTAAGATCAATTTAAAATGAAAATTAAACATTGGAATATGAACCAAGTTCATCTTTGTCACAGTGACTAGCATGTCTAAATTTCAAATATAAAAAAAAGAAAATTTGCTCCGCTGACCAAAATATCGGTAGTACATATTAAAGAAATGTTACATAGATAGCACAGTAACCAGATATGTTTTTGTTGAGAAAAATGAACAGTTGTTTCTCCCATTTCTCGTATTTTCTCACCAAAAT